TTTGTTTTGTAAATTTTTGGTATTCGTATTTTGTATAATAATCAATTTTGGAAAACAGTTTCCAAATTTCAATAAATTATAATTAAACAAAATGTAACGATAGTTTTTTAATTCGAAATTGGTACAAATGTAATGTTTAAAACCATTTTTGCAAACGTCTAAACCATTAAATAAACAAGCATTTTAGCATCATTTTTCATTTATTTTAAATATAATTATTGTAATACCAATAAAATACAAAAATTGCATTTTTGTTGTGATTCACCAGTTGCAAATTTATTGGAAGAAAATAATGATAGTCTCAACCCTTGCCAACTTTGTATAATATGGTTAAGTAATTTGAAACAATATTGATTGTTATTAATGTTTACTTACTTTTTGATAATTCCATTTGCTACTAATTCTTCAAAAAGTGATTCTGTGGTTCGGTCGGGAGTCAAGTCTTTTTCTTTTTTCTTCTTTCCCTTTTTGCCTCCTTTTCTAGTCTTTTTACTACTTTTCTTTTTTCCTTTATGACCTCGATCTTTATCCATAGCTTCCTGGCAGCACGAAAAAACAATTAGTTTATTTTTAAATACATATATTAATAAAAACAATGAAACTATTAGTTTGAATTAAACACAATTTAAAAATTTCGACTTTATACCTGCAGCAATAATAATTCTCCTTTCATCATTTCGTCAACCACTTTCCTTAGTTCATTTTCCATATTAGTCATTTGCTCATGTTCTATTATATTCATGTAATGGAATTGTTTGGGATTTTCCGATTCGTCTTTATTTTTCCAAATTTCATCGTACTCTTCTTTGCGAGCATTCAACTCAGGCACAAACGCAGAAACCATTGCTTTAGTACTAACTTCCTCTCCTTCTTCACCTTCTTGCTTGGCTTCTTTCTGTTTTGGACCCTTATCTTTTTTTGTTTTCGAATCTTTGGATGAAATTTGGGTAGATTTGCTCAATTCGCTGTCCGTACCTAAAACATTCTAAATGAATATCAAAAATTAAACAGTAAAAGTAGAACCTTGTCTACTAAACAATAATCTTGAAGCAGCTCTCTCAGATCCTGTATACTCCGGTATTTTCCCAGTTTGTGTCTTATACTCGTGCAACCAGCCCCTCACTTGGTCACTCAACTGTTCCAAAACAACTCCTCTTTGGTACTTCTCCATGTGTTCTCTGCTTTTCTTCACATCATTTTCGTACTTTAACTGTCTTTCTTCCTGTAAACGTCGTCGATACTCTTTAATTTCTAAATCCTTGAGTATTTCAGCACTTTGAGTCTTCGGTGGTGGTATCATCCCAATCAACAACATTTCTTGCAGTTTTCTGCGTCGAGTGGCCCTCCGAGCCACATACCCCCTCCATATTTTCTGGATACGCAAAGCTGCGGGTAAGCTAATTCCTCCCCTTTGTTCGTTTTCATCATCCTCTTCACCCACCACTGGTTTAGTTTTCTCTTTCATGTTTCTAATTTCTCGCATGAATTGTGCTCTGAGTCGGCCTTGTCTTGCTCTTTCGTGGACTTGGATAATCAGAATTGCTTGCTGTTCAGTCATTGGTGGTTTGGTTTCTAGTTTATCAAGGAAACCCAATTTGCCTAACACGCTCTCTATTAAATTTTTCTGATATTGTAATTCTTTTCGGCGCTCGTTTCGGAAACACGAAGGGACTTTCAGTTCACTTTGTTCAGGTGTTAGTTTTAGTTGTTCGAGGACATCGCCACAGTGGGTCCACTCGCTGAGATCTGCTTCGACGAGGTCGTACTTGAGCTCGAGGATCCTTCCTAGTGTTGCTTCCAACAGTTTTCGAATTAGTCTTCGTTTTTGCGGTTGCACCATTTGATCTACACATTCCGAAAGAACGTTTGATACTAAAATGTATCTGACGTAGAGAGTGGACAGTAATTGGCGCTGTTCTCTTCTGTCTACTTGCACAGCTTCGCTCTGAAGCGTTTCTGCTAGTAATTGTTGAACTTGTTTCCATTCGGAATCGTAGGTTTTGTGAGACATTTTGAAAACACAGAACAGATTTTTGCGGATCTCAAACCCAAACACGAAATATTTCTACATTGTTTGATCAATAATTTGGAGTATCCATGCAAGGGGAAACACATACGAGTATGTAACTTATTTTTTATACAGGGTGACCCAGGGGTGCGTGCATTTTTAACAATTTTTTTTATCGAAGTTATCGACATGATTTTTTTTAAAGGATAAATACAACAATGAGGCACATTATAAAAATATTTCTATTCATATACAGGGTGTCCCAAATAAGATACACAACTAAGTTCTGTTTTTTTTTAATGAAAACCCCAATTTTTTATTACACATCTGGATTCGCTACTAAATTATCATTATAACGTAACTTGGTTTCTTAGACTTACCTGCATTAGTTTTTGACTTATGCCAATTTATGTGTCAAAATTACATCGTATATAGACCCACAAAAAATTCATAACTTCAAAATTATTCAAGGTAATTTAACCAACTTTTTTCCTGTTGATTCCTTAAGCTTTAGCGCGTCTTCTGAGATAAAGGCAAACTCGGAGTCGATGTTCCATCGCGTACTACGATTTTTTGAAAATGACAAAAAACAAATGTCAATAACTCGATTTTTTCAAATACAACACTCTATATTTTATTTCATCATTGTATGGCATTTTTTATGAGCTCTTTGTCGATATAGGATTTATAGGGTCTACTTTGTAAAATTTATGAGATTTTTGCAAAATAAGTAATGTTGATGGTTTTTTTCTTAAAAAAATTATATTTTTATAATGTGCCTCATTGTTGGATCTATCGTTTAAAAAAAATCATGTCGATAACTTGTATAGAAAAAAAGTTATAGAGCGTGCACGAACCCCTGGATCACCCTGTATGTATTTACGTAATGAAACCAGCGAAATGATTTTTTATTAATATTTTTAATAATTAGAATGTCTAACAAAGCCAGAATATAGATACATTCGTTCCTATTATTTATCGACTAAAATCCGTGGAGTTTTCAGCACCAGTTGATAAGGTAGATGCCCAAGTAATGATTGTAACCGAAGTACTGCGGATGGTACCAGTTGTAAGACTTATATTTACTGGGGATTCCGTTAACTTCATATGGAGATGGCTTAGACTGCATGGATGGTTTTCAACGGGATTCAACATCGATTCCAAAAAATACGCCATCAAAGATCCTGTAGTTAGTCCAAAATTATACAATAAAGTCATCATATTGCCTAAAAATTGAGTCTCAAGAAGTGCTCATTTAACAACTAAGCAATACCAGTGAGTTCTCTATAGCGATCGTCCACTTTACTCGGCGCCTGAATCATGGGGACGCTCCCCAGGATTCCATTACTGAAACCCAAAATTAACGCAAAGGTGAACGCAGTCACCTCTGCTGAAAAAATGGGATTGGCTCTTGGTGCCACACACATGATCATCAAAGGAATCATTATGAGTCGTGCGACTGAACATCGAACTAATCGACCACCAGTCCAATATCGCGACGACGAGGCTAACATTTTACCGACTAAATCAGCTCCGTTGAACAACGCCATCATCAGAATTGGCATCCACGAACCCAGACGACAACTAATAATTTCAGAAGCTATTCCTGGGTACAAACACAATGTGGCAAAATAAACCAAACAAATCGATATCATGTATGGATGAATCGCCTTTGTGATTTCCCACCGTGCCAACAAACCTCCTAAAAATCCGATTTGAGTTCATTTTGACCACATTCGTGTATTTGGTACTTTTTATGCCGCTCAGTCCTCCAGCAGTACTCACACTTTGTCTACCTCTAATAACCACATCTTCGACTTTGTACGTTGGTACCGGGACGGGAGCTGACGGTTCGTATGCTGGGTTGGCAAAACTGAGAGTATTGCCCGGTGGGGGGCTATTCTGTATTTTCAAAACCCCGTATTGGGCATCATTTGTTTCTATCTGGAATCACTAATTTGAAAAAGTCAATAGATTTTTAATGAATTACCAGTCCTGCATCTTCACTCGGCTCAAGTGTAATTCTAGTCTTAGCCCTCTCGCATAAAGCTATATAGAATTGTATAAAATCAGTTCTTCTGATAAGATGATACATGGCGAAACATGTAGCTACAGCTGAAACTGATACAGTGAAAAAGTATATTGTACTTCCCCGGATTTCTGGTATCAAAAATCTGGTAAGGACCCGTACTGATGATGTAAAGACTCCAGAAGCACCTGAAATTAGTACTTTGACGGAGGAGTTTTCAGGTTTTTGTTTGACTTACTTTCACCTACCATCACTGCTTGGGTGTATCGAGCCGGCAGCATACTTGTATAACCGTAAAAACTAGATTGTTGTACTAAAAATTGCAAAAATTGGCAACCTTGTAATACAACAGGGTAAAGTACCTGTGCAACCGACTGCTACGACGGCTACAGCTGCTAAGTTAACACCATAAGAAGTGGCAGTGCCGAAAGCTTCCCACCAAACTTCACAAACAACAACAAATATCAAAGTGATAAAAGACATGATATATCCTGAAACAATGTTTTGAAACAAACTGTTTTAATATGGCGGAGTTCTACCGAAATTGATTCTAGAATTAAGGGTAAAAGTCTCAACCAACAAGTTATTCCCAAGAACAGTCAAAAAAGCAACAGCGATGTACACCAAAGACATGTCAAAAACAACAGGAGTGTCAGGATATCTTACTTTGAAATAATCCATTGCCATTATAAAACTGCAAAGGCAAATATTATTTGTGTAGGTAAAGGTCAGGGTTCACTGATCTACCTATTGTAAGGGAGAAGAAAACCAGCACCACCAAGGACAAACGATAAATAGACAGCATTATACGAATCTATGGGGGGTGATATATTTGCAAATCCGTTACTATTGTGAAAATCGTTTCGCCGACGAGATTTTCCCAATTTGGAATAACCGTGCGCATCGCTGGACTCTTCCATCATACGGTTTTCAAACGAAACGGACTACTAATTGTTTTTATGCATATTTAGAAGAGTATTTCACTGACACCTTTTATTATTAACGAGTTATTAACTAATGTTTTAGATGGATAAAATAAATATTGGAAAATCATTACACTTTACATTTTTACAACAGATATCTTGCGCATGTTTCTGGATCTATTGATTTCAAAATTGCGCTTGCGGAGGAAGTTAAATTAATTTTTTGGTAGTTTAAAATATATGTTTTTGTATTTAGTATTTATTAGAGAATAGTGACTGTTTTTGAAAATTGCAATAAAATATTTTGCACTAAATTCGTAATTTGATATAGGCAACTGGTCGTGCACAAGTGTTTAGTGGGTTGCACATTTTATGTTTCAATAATTTAATTTTCGTTAATAATTTACATTGGGTTGCATTAATTAAAATAATTGTTGAGTATTACTGTTTGTACCGTTGAATTTTAAAATTAAATAAATTTCCAAAAATGGGAATCGTGTATTTCCGTGCGAGTTCGTTGACCAATCGGCCTTCATCCATCATCTGACATCTGTTGATAATTCTGTGTATTTCATTCCTGTCAACTGTAAGTGCAAAATACCATGAAATTGAGATTAAAAAATTCGTATTGGCCATTGCCAATGCGTGAACTGTTTATCCTGCTGTTGATTTAAATTTACAAATCCTGCAGTGAGTCCTAGCCCCCCCAGCATCCCATTTTTTGCATAAACAAAGGCGATGTCATTCGTCAAATCAGGTGATTTTTTTGCAAGAAATTTATGACGAGTACGGAGTGTTTTCTACAGTAAACATGTAAATAGTGTGGTGACTGTGTAGAACAATAACACAATGGGTGCTAAACCGAGTACAGCGAACGGGACGCAGAGCCCCCGCACGAGGGCTTTCTCGACGAGCAGCAGTTCGGAGGTCGTCACCGCTCCGGGGTTCCGCTTCATGAGGTCCTTGGGGATGGACATGTCCAGCGATCGGCAGAGGGCCCGCTCGTTGTCAAGCGTTCCCGATTTACATACTAGTCATGAAACTATTGCCATACCGGCGACGGGTGCCAGCTTCGACGTCTCCACGGGGGCCAGCCCCGAGACGGACAGCAGCTCGGCGGAGGACACGGCGGGGGCTCTGGCTTCCGCCGCCTCCAGCATCGCCCTGGGACGGGTCTACGCTGCACATTCGCTACCTTCGCATATTTGGTCGCTAAATGGTAAGTGCGGATGGGGCCCAGGGTCGATATCTATCAAGACATCTTATTCTAGAGTGTTAAGTAGAACTATAGAGCATAAATTAAGTATTTCACAATTTTTGTTACGGATGTTTTGTAAGGAAAAGAAAGTAAACAGGCCTATACCCGATGGAAAATTTTATTAATACCAAACGAGATTGCGAATTGTGTTCAATAATTTGGGAACATTGCAATTTTGGAGTTATAAAGGTGTTTTGAAAAATTGCATTGTCATATTATTTGTTATGCGAAATTGTTTATAAACAGCAAACTATTTTATAAATTTTCATTGTTCAAGGTTGGCGATAATGATATCTATCTTGCGTCAAATTTTGAACATGTGGTTTTCCTTTTTAGTTATTTTATAAAAAAATATTTGCCCATTTTGTAATCTTTTTTTCAACAGAAACAGCTGTGTAGTGAGTTTGCTTTATCGGCTTACCCTCAACGTAGATACAGATTTTTCTTTATAAATATGCACTTCATTATTTCATTAAAAAATTATTCGGTGCAGGTTTAAAGATTATTTGTTAGATTATATTTAAGTCATTTCCTTTATTTTTATTAAGGCAGAATAATTGACTTAAAGTACTATACATCTAAGCGGTAACTAACTTTATGAAAGGAAATTTTATGATTCATAAAAAGGATTATTTAAAGGGAAAATTGCTTGTGTGATGGAAAATGGGAAATCTGAAATAACAGATCAGATATTTTCTTAACTAGTCTGTTTTTTTTTTAATGGAAATGCCAAACCGTCTTAACGTTGGCACCCCTAACAAATTTAATCATGGTAGTTTTAAGAAAGGAAATTGGCAGTTCCTATTTTTCTAAGATCGTCTAAGAAAATTTAGAAATGAAAACACAAAAACAGTTCTTGGAAATTTGAAGACGAAAAGTGTGCAAGCAAAAGTCAAAAAAAAGACCACCGCTAAAATTTAGACGCAATTTGTAATGCAGGTTTGCTAAACATTCTCAAATTTTTAGTAAGAAATTGATGAAAATGCAACATAAACATCAAAGAGAAAGAACGCAATTAAATTAGTAGGTTTGGTTGTACCGTTTTTGAAGACGAGTTGAAAAACTAACTAATTTTGAAACTAAAACCGAAGGAGAATTTAGAAAATGAGTTTTGAGCTGATCAAACTCTTCTTGTATCTTTTGCAAAATATTTTTTTTTGTATAGACTCTTTTTTATTAAAGATTTTTTTAGTGAGAAGCCCATTTTTGTCCACAACATTGTAGGTACTTACTATAGTGTGTTATATCAATATTATTAGCACTGAATTAGGACATTAGGTAGTGATATCTGTCCTTAGGTATTCGATTATAAAGGCTTACAAAGAGCAAACAAGCACACAAGATTCGCAAAAGTCAAAATTTTAACAATATCACAACATGAAACATAACCATAATTTTTTAACAAAATTTCTAGGGACAAAAACAAAACACAAACAAAATCTGTGGCTATAGAGATAAGCTGCTACCAATTTTTTCACCAAAATTTTGACTTGGTAATTTCCATTAAAAAAAAAACTTTATTATCAAATTTTTGCATATTTTTGTATACATATCTGGTGCCACATTTCTAGTTTTTTCTTGGCCTTTTTATTTAGAAAAATGCTGGTTGCCATTTTTCGGATCGAATTGAAACAGAATATAAATTATCCTTGTAACAAATTGTTACTTTTTATACATTGCGATCAAAAAGTTTATCTGTCAAGCAAGCCTAGAAATTTAAAACGTGTGTCTGCGGAAGATAAAATGTCACAATGGTAAATAAGAAATGTCAAAATATTTTTTTTTGTAAACTGTAACAACAAATCGTGGTGAACTATTTGTATGAATAAACTCCAACTACAACTCATTTTAGGGTGTTTTAAGACGTTTCATACAGTAATTTAATTTGTTTAGATCAATATATTAATTTTTATAAAATAACTTATCTGACATACAAACTTCCAAGCGACATTCGTCCTCAACTAGTACGCCTACTTAATAGAAAGACTTTTTGATCGCACTGTACTTTGCCATAAAGTCTGTAAGGTCTAGGATTCTCCTGTATTATTGTGAAAAAATTATTTTCTTCAATAATTCGCAATAACATCAAATACTCGAATTATAAATAGTAATAACATATTTTAATTAATTCAGTGTTGTGGAATCCGGAGTTAAAAGTATTTTTCAAAGAACAGTTAATTTATTTGTTTTTATAATTATTATTTACTTCATATATGCAAATGAGAAACTGTTGAACGTTTGTGTTGATTATTTGTTGCATCTAGTTTTATTTAAATTTGTATTTGTATTGTTTCGCGAGTAATTGCAAAATGAGTTTATTTTTATGAACTGAAAATTGTAATTGTAGAAAAATATTCGTTGTAATAACTTAACTTTTTAATTGTAATAAATTTTGATTTCAGTCTTGTCAATTTTTCCTAGACATAATAATATGTTCCTATTCTTTACAATTTTGACGTAATTATAATTAAATTGTTTTTATCAAATAATCGCATATTGGTTAACACTACAAGCCTTGGAATCTCATCTCTAGTAATTCAGATACCCTTGTTTATACAATAACTGATTACTTATCAAACTAAATATAGACAACGGGGTTAAATTGAAATTTGAATTGAATATTGTAATAACATTAATTATCTGTTCACGATGGTAATGACTAGACTTCGGCTAATAATTTTCTATTTATCTTTTTCATGATCATACGTATTTTTATAGTAGTATGTGAAAAAATCCGATATTCCACCTGTGATAAGAGCAGACAGAAAGTAGCAACAACCTTGAAATTTTAATAGAAGTGCCCTTCGTAATAACAAAACAATTGAATACGTTTAAAATACAATGACATTTCTGCGAAGTGAAAATTTCAACTCATTTCACTGCAGACTGGAGAACTATTTTTGTTGAAATGTGAGCAGCATATGCAGTAAAACATAATACTTCTAATTAATTTTTTTTTGACAAAATCCCTCAAAAAATTCTACTTTAGCTAGGATTCTGTTTACGTTTACAACAGAAAAGTAATTAAATTAAAATAAATAGGAGTAATGTATAAGAATCGGTTCCAAGGTTCAAGTCGATGATTTGAAACAAAGATTAAAAAAGTGTCATGATTCCATATTAAGAGTACATTTAACAGTATTTGCGAAGTATTAAGTGTTAGAGGTCGCCGATGTATCATATCTCGGAACGATTTAATTAATTTTTATGGATGTATTTATCCATCACTTTTTATCAAACGTAGTAACATTTTGTTAAACAATTTAATTTACGTTTTTACCATCTCTCTTTCACAGTTCAGACCTACTCCAAGTTGCTATCTTTAGAGCTAGCGATATTGTTTTGTTTTTTTGTGTGTAGAGTGTAGTACTTTAGTTGTTATGATAACCAGTAACGAGTAGGTTGTTTAAGTTGTTGTTAAGAAATAGTAAGCGCTTTGAGGCTTTATGTCGGTAAAGCCATATGTGTTTAAATTTTAGAGTCAGTAGTGTGTTTAACATTTGTTCAAGTGCATCACAATCGACACAATGGGCCAAAATATCTCTTCGCCACAGCCGAATATATCCTCGGTGGCACACAAGGACAAAGGTATATTTAGAATGAAAATTTAATACAATGAATTCAATTTTAGCCCATGTTTTTCATAAATACTAATTATGTTAATTAGCACCTACCACTGTAATTTTTCCACTGCTTATGGGAAAACGTCTATGTCAAAACTGTCAAGTCACAAGGATTTGTTCTACCTGCAATCTAGGAAATGTGTAACGAAAGATAACAAACTGTAAATTCATAATCTGCGTACTAAAATTTAATGTCGATGGAAAATTATGACTACTATCTGGTTGAGGGAAAAAATCCAAAAGTGAGGATTTCTATAATTTTTTTGTATATTTTTTTCGATGAATCCCTGAATTTATTTGAATGGAATTTTCTGAACAATTTTCTTTCTCTGTATTGATAAATGTGTGATTTTAAACGGTCTGTTAAGTACAAATTGTTGAGTGCTTTTACTTTTATGTGTTAATAATAAAATACAATAATAAATTTGGCAAGGTTATCTTGCTTAAAACTCCCAAGCATTGCTTTTAATAAATCTCTTGTTTAGCATATTTTAAACAATTCTGACTGGATTTAAACAATTTTGAAATAATTAATCTTGCATATTATGTTACATTTTTATTACTTAATGTATTTAGCAATAGCGCATTGTATTTTTAAAACTATTTTACAACTTTTTTCATTTGTATTTTTTAGTGTTTGGCACCCAATCAAAATTAAAGCGGAATATAATGCAACTTTATATTTGTTCGTTTTCTCTTACTTCCTGGACGAATTTTTGTTATAAAATTTATTTTGGTGTTTAGTTAAATTTCAACACTATTTTTTATTATTACCTACATTTATAACACTAATTTACCTTGAAATTGATTTTAAAGTTCCGTGAATGAGCTTTCAACTACAATGAACAAAACGCATATTTTTAACTAATATTCGAAATGTAAATATGGAAAATTACTGTCATTTGATAAAATTTAAAAAGTTTTTCTACTTAAAGGGAAATCTTACAATTCTAGTGCTTTAAATAAATCGTAAAACAGCGTTTCTGACCGCAACGAGGAATTTAGGATATGAACAGAAGCCTTAGAAATGTTTTTCGTTATGGCTAGGATTGTTTTTCCATTTCTTTACTGTATTTGTTTTATCCTTGAATCATATTATAGAATAATATGCTACATTGAGGAAATAGATTATAAATATTGTAACTAATATCGTGGGTAGGACATGAAGAACGCCCGCAATTATTTTCAAATGTCACCTTGCCCTTGCGCAAAGAATAGATTCAAATGTTCGCAGGAGAATTATCACATGATGGCAAGTTATTTTTAATTAATTTAATTCCGCAGGTGATAAACAGATTAGAATTAGATTAGATATTTATTGTATTTCCTGTATTAGCGATGTTTCTACACCTAAGATCGCCTCAATGAAAAGTAAATAAACTCGACACTTGTCGTTTTAAACAAAAGTACATAATTTTTTCCAAAACATGGTTTTCGTAATACAGTGATAAAGATAATGAGTAATATTTTATTTTGAGTGTTTATTAATGTGAATGGAAGATTATAGTTTCGGTTAAAAAACCCATGGTCGCTCAAAATTTGATTAATAAAAAATCTGGTGTGAACATCACACAACTTTCCTTATCCAACTTATTTGTCCTTACGACAATAATTTAGTGTTAGAAATCCGAGTAGCAAACCTAACGTTTGCCTTGGTACCACCTGCCGGATTACACACGAAATAGATCATAGTTGCCGCGGGTTCGAGTTTGGGGTGCAATTTTTTTTAGTTTGGTACCCATTATTATTTTTATTTTATCACATTTTACTGTTTAATAAGGTATATTTCATGATTGTAAATAATTTTTATCCCCATGAATTTATTTATAGTATCTTCAACCGTATAATTTTGATTGTTGGTCTTTGCGGCCGAACGGTGCGACCGATTTTTACCAAATGCACAGCAAATAGAGAGAATGACAATATTACAAATGATTTTTTTGGAGTCAAATAGGTCACGAATAAGTAATTTCTGAATAAAGAAGGATCTGTATGATAACTTATAACTGAATAGGGTACAAATCTGGGCCCTTCTTAAGCTTTTTTTTTTTTAATTTTCATTCCATCGCTGGAAGAGATTTTAGCAAAATCTACTTTTTCCAAGAAAATTAATAAGAACATTTTTTTGGTGAAAGCTTCTAAATAATTATCCACGTTTTTAATCTTGAAAGGATCAATTTCAATACAAAAAAAACTAACATTAAAAACGCTGTTTAAAACAATAGATATGCATATTATTTTAGCTTTTTAATTCCGTAACTATAACAGATAAATGTTGTTTATTTTGTATTCAATGTTAAAGAGTGCTTTTGTCTACTAATTTCAGTAGATAAAGTAGTCTTTCATCGTCTTGTAAAATAAAGTAATTTTTATCTACTGTTTATATTCAAGAAATTCTGGTTTAAAACGAAATATTATACACGACGATAAAGATTGTTGATCTACTCGTGAAAAAAGTCCACTTCGTCACTCGTAAACTTAACCTTTTCACTCGTAGATAACCAATTTCTTTATCGTCATGTATAAATAAGTATTATTAATAATAAAAGGGTAAATTAACTGAGAATATTTTACAATGTACCTATTCATATTAAATATTAATTTTTTGATCTAAAATATTTATCAGATTTTTTCAGATACCAAAAATTTAAAGTAAAAAAAGGAGTAGACAACGTGATTTTTTTTAATCTCCAGTTTGTATTTGTAAAATAGCTAATCCCAATCTATTTAAAACTCTTTTTAATTTACACCTAAAGAGATAAAGAATGTATTTAACAACGGTTATGCCATTTTGATAATCATAATTATTGCATTGCATATTTTGAAAGTTTTTCGTCCAAAGGATGTTTCAAGTTAATAAATCGCAGAAAAGCAGGATTAGCTATTGCTAGATTTTTAATTTTTCATTGCTATAATTAGTACCTACAAAGTTATTAAGAATGATTATACTGATTTGACTTTACTGAATTTTATTATTAAATGGTGCAACAGGAATTTCGTCTGCAGTCCTGTAAAAAAGTAAAAGTCTATTTTTGTTATTAATATTTTTTAGAATATCTTTAAAAGTTAGATTTTTCAAACAGCCGCACTCTTATTTTCAAATTATTTTTTAAAAGAATTATAAAAAATGTTCTGTACGTATCATTGTTTTTTATTTCTCGTATAGTAAATTATACAGAGTGGTTATAAATGATTTTCATCTAGCCAGCTGTGAATTTTCCATGTAAAATAAAAAATGCCGCTTTACGAAAATAGGGGTACCTACTTGTTGTAACTCAAAATTAAAAAATCGCCGTTTACTAAGCATCCACTTCGAAAATAGACTTCAATTATAAACTTGTTTTCTTCCAAAGTATACATTATTATCAATTATTATTGGAAATTAGTTGAAACAATAAAAATTTAATTAACAACAMTTTATTATTAATTAATAAGTGACACTAATGACAGAACTAGAGCTTTCAAAAAAGTAGAGCGGCACAAATAAAGTTACATGCAAAAAAAATTCCAAAGCTGGCTAGATGAAAATCATTTATAACCACTCTGTATCTACTCGTAAGGTTAAGTGTGTGGTATCGTAATCTATATCTGTTTTATTGTATCACGTACATGTCGCACCTTTCCCACATGCAACTGTCGGTTGTATTTTTTCTTGTTGGATAAATTTTGCAAAAATTGTGATGCATAAATGATAAATCTGCAGTCGTCAAGCCGATAAAATCGTAGCGATCCATAAAACACAATAATGCTATAATGAAATAGTGTCGCTATGACGATCTTTGGTATACCCAAGGAAAAGAGCAGTCGATCCATTTGCGCATGTTATTCTGACATAATGTATCTAATGATAATCGGAAAATAATCATTTGTATATTGTAAATGTGAGAAACGCGGAGCGAGTTCGTCTCTGCTCCTGCTGTGCAATTAGAAAATATTCGGACGAGTCGGGCGTCGTGTATGCGCCTGACACCATCGCCAAAGGCAGCCACAAAACTCAATTATTACACCGACTATTACCCAGCCGAGATCTTGTAAAGTACTCTTCGGGCAATCAACGTGTTCACAATTAAGAAAAATCCGCAAAATTTCAATTTATTTCCATTCCGTCGCGATCCAGGAACTCGTATCCATTTCGTGATGATGCTGGGTTCCGGGAACGACCTTTGACATTTCGTCTCCGACTTGCTATGGGTATTGTGATCGGATCGTGCGTCCCTGACGAAGAACCAGACACCAACAATCGATTTCATCGAGTTGTTTACGGTAATTATTGATATTTTCAACCCTCACATTACTTTTGTAAATATTCGGTCCGGATGGTTGGCAATATTCTTTTTTTTTTTTCAAGATATTTTGTTATTGTGGTTTATTATCGACCGACACACACTGTATGTATGTACATAAAATTGTTGTAAAGTTGTGTTGAAACTCTAAAATGTGTTTCTACCTCCGTGACAGCAGCGTGCCCCTAAACGCATGATGTTGCTTCAAAGTTTCGCTTATTTTATGTTCGCATTTGACACTTTGTTTCGTGAAAATATTTCTACGGCACGTAAATGTTAAAAAGTGGAAACCCAGTTGTGCTAAGGCACAAATTGTGGTTGTATTTTTTTTTCATTTCTATTATTTTTAGCTTTTATGTTCCGGCTATAATAACATCGCACTGCAGATTCTAATCACATTGATTTATCTTTTACGTTGCGGATGTCATTTTCTATTGTCACATTTAGAAGGATTCCTTTAAATCATTTGTATTTTTATCTTTCAGTCAATTTATGCTGTTTTTAGCAGTATTTTCTAAATGTTACGTCGTTTTTTAATTTGGTACAATTTGTAAGTTATTGAGATATAAGGGGTCTTTGAGTTGACAACAAAGCTGGAAATTTCTGAAGTTTTTCTCATTCAATTAGTAAAAGTAATTTACGTTACAAGTCCAGTAAGTCAAATTTTACAGTACGATTGAGATGCATTTGGAAATAAATACGGTATTACCGGTTCTGATACCGTAATAATTTATTTACCGGACTCTTGCATACTGCATACCAGTACTGATCTTGTAATATCTCACTTCCCGGACCCAAAATGGATTCGGGAAGCTTAATTTACCGGACAATATAAAATAAAACATCTTCTTTGCAACTTAAGAGAAATTAAATCTGAGAGATCATCGCCCCTAAGTGAAGTTATTTAATGTACTGAAATATAATTGAAACAAAATTAAGAGTGAAAAAAATGTTTTTGAAGTGCTTTCAGTAATAACTATTTTATAAATGAAGTTTTATAAATCTAGTCTTGAGAGTTTTAAGTAAAAATTTATAGTGCCAACTAAAATAGTACTTTGTCCTGCGGTCAGTAAAAATTTGAAATTTTTTTACAGACGAAATAAGTAATTTTTTTATGAAAAAAAAAAGTAATTTCTTGGCATGTGTGGTGCATGCAATATTTTTATTCTATTCATAAAGAGATATAAAGATTTAAATATTTTTTAATGTCATCAGATATGCTATAACTTAACTAACAACAAATACATATTTTTGTTTTTACAAGAAAATTGAATATAGGGCACACTGAATTAAATCCATTCATATTTATGTGCGTATTTTATGCCATTTTGTTAACTTTAAGAAGCCTCATCTGTTTATCGAAACTCCAATGCTTTTCTTATTTTAATTAATGCGGAAATTAAAGATATCGATTTTTTTTAATTCGCATGTGATCACCGATTTATCATTTCTTCTTTGCTATATTACCAATAAATTTAGCACGAAATTCAACTTTAGTTAGTCATTCTTTTATATAAAAACCCTAAGTTTACCCAAAAAACTTCGAGTGGGCCAAGCTCGACTCTGTCACATAATCAAATGAATTTTGATCAACATTTCTTTTGGCTTTTTAATGAGTAGTAATACTTAGTAGTACATAGTATGTTTTAATATTATGTATGTTAACTTTAAAATAAAATTTATTAAAAATAATAAAATAATTCTTACACATATACAGGTCACTAAAAAGTATGGATACAGCTAAATATTTTCAGAACGGTTTAGCAGAGCACGTTGATATTTGGGAAACAGTTTACTTATTTTTTGGTCTAAATTCAGGCGGCCAAGAGCTAACGATAGATAAATACATTTCTAAGGCTAAAAATTTTTTTTTCAAAATTTAATTACTTCGATATTTTTTTTAAAAAAGAAAGTATGAATGTGTTCACAAAACTCTGAAAAAAAAACTGTTCTTAAAAATATTAAATTTGACCCTTCTTGACATTAAAAAAAATCAAGTTAGCCTTGTATCCCCAGAACAACTGGAGATAGAAGTTTGATAAACATCTGAGGTAATGGAATTTAAATACTTTTGAGCATATACCAAATTTCAATAAGTTTTTATAAACAGTTTGTAAATATTTAACTCTATCCATACTTTTTAGCGACCCCGTGTATTTAATTACAATACCAAGTTTTGATAAACAGTTTGTATAATATCCATACTTTTTACTTTTACTTTTTTCAGTTTACGGTATTTACGGTACATTATAGAGGGTGTGTCAGAACTCGCACCCAAGAGAAAAAATTCAAGTAAGATAAGATACCAGGAATATGGAAAAAATGTTTAAAAAATTGTATCTGTCAAAAAAATATTTTTTGACATTTGACATTTTTTTATGTCTTTATAATGATACTGAAGATATGTTACAATTTAGGATGCAGCTTCCTTGTTTTCTCTTCTAATAGCCTGTAGAAAAGAATCTTGGAAAATTATTTTGCCAACAGAATTAAATAGAGTCAAAGTGCAAAATTTAAACTCTCGTAATTTCGAAATGTTTATAGATAAAAAAAAATAACTTTTTTTCCATGTTCCTGGTTCCTTATATCGCATTTTTCCCTGAGGCACGAGTTCTAGCGCATCCTATATAGAACATAGACTTAACGTCATTAGTAACATTTTTGTTAAGTTCTTCATTTGTTTTGTTTCATTTTCTTCTTCTTGTCTTTCTTGTATTTAAATTTAACATGAGACATGAAATAATATTTACTATAATACCATATTTACACAAAGCGAAACCATTACATTACATTTCGCATCAAAAGTTGTTAATTTGATAAAAGATTCATAAACAATGTTTATAAATATGCAGGTTTGCTGTGATAAGGAGATCAATTTGTAACTTATATGTTATACAACAGATTTTAACAAATATTATCGGATACCTACTTATGCATATTTAATTAATTAAAAATCAATGAAACAGCTTTGAATGGAGTAAAAACATGCAGGAAAACACTTAAGTTATTACCAAAGACCTAATTTACGCATTTTTTCAATAGGAATAATTGTGAAATACAATTTTAGTACTGGTGTTTTCATTTTGTTTTTTTTTTTCATAATTATTCTTATTGCTTTACCTACGAGTATATTAACAACAGTTTTTAGAGAACAAAATTTATTGGGAATAAACAAATTGGAGGTGTACGAACATATCCTATAATGGTTTAAGTAATGCTAAATTGAGCTGTTTAATTATTTGAAAAATAGTCTAATGGCTGTCTCTGGATATTATACATATGTAAACTAAGCAAACAAGGGAAAGTTATTACTTTAATTATTAATCTTCTAGTGATGCAGTCTAGGAACTTATTTTGTCAACAACCTAAGAAAATGTGTACATACTTTATGACGCGCGTTAAGGTAAACTGATACTTCAGGTAATGTCGAATGCCGATGTCAAGGTTTGGAAAAAAAATGATAATCAATTATGCATTGAACTTCCATAATGATACTAATGGTATTAATATTGACTTTTTCTCTCTAAATGAATATCGCTGTTGGTGTAATTGTTAAGTACCTTTTGGATAATTAAAAGTCTAAACAATCAACAATAACGAAAAATTAAAATGCAACTTGCAAATCAATTCTAAGGGATATTAAAGCTAGCTGAACCGAAAACCCTTTTAACGTGTGATGCAGTCATTAAGTAATAAAAAACAAAAACCAAAAACCCATTTATCGGATTTTAATTTGAAGTGTTGAACAACACAAGCTATTGATTTTGGCCAACACTCACAGTTCAGGGTTTCTTAACTTTAAAACTTTTCATATCCAACATTCATTTATATCAATCTTTTATCAATAATAGCAATATTAAGTACAAATCGCTGTATAAAATTACACTTTTCACATTGATAAAATGAAAAAACTAATTGAAATAAACGGTATGTTGGCATTGATTTTTGATTTAAAGTATATACACGCTATTCTCACGCTGATTAAAAATTAACCATAAATAACTTTGCCATTGAATTAGGAGGAAACGACTTCCAAGATTAATATTTACATTCTTTTAAAATAAATAAAACTTGAAAATTTAATTTTAGTGACGTGTGCTAATTTGTTTTTCTTTGTTTCAGGGATCAAATGCCCAGTTTGCAGCAAGTTTGTTATTCCTGATGACATTGAATGTCACCTAGTCATGTGCCTCACTAAACCACGGCTTTCCTACAACGGTAAAAAGTCACTAGTGCTTGAAATAATCGTGTAAATTATTTTGTCTTGCAGAAGACATTTTGACTGACGATAAAGGAGAGTGTGTGATATGCCTAGAAGAATTAAACCAAGGAGATGTAATAGCTCGTCTTCCTTGCCTCTGTATATATCATAAGATGTCAGTTTTTGCGTCTCAAGTCGCAGAAATATTAAAAGATTTTTTTCAGGTGCATAGATCGGTGGTTCGAAGTAAACCGGTCGTGTCCTGAACACCCAGGCGATTAGCAAAGTACCGAAGTCAGCTAGGGTTGTATATATATGTAAATAAATTGCTGAAGTGAATTGTGAGGAACAATCTTAATTAATGCAGTAGCTACAGTACACTATAGCGGTCTTCAGACGAAGATTCAACAATAGTTACCTATTCTATTTAGTTAAATACCACACTTTTATTACGTTCGGGTCATTTTTACGACTTTCTACATTGGATTTTATATCATTATCATTACCAAGGCATTAGACAATTAACATTGTTATACGAGTAGTGTTACATATCAGTTCGTTTTTAATACAAAATGTAAGACACAAGAAACGTTTTTTTGATTGAAAAAAGTGGCAGCTCAAGAGAATTTATTTTTGATACCTTCATACGACAACTACTAGTTTCTAATTTATCAAATTGGTTAATTGTGAAACTTGTCACATGATATTTGTTTTAATGTATTCCGAATATAGTAAGATAAAACATTCATAAATACGCTTTATATTATACTGTAAGGCTCAATTTAAGCCGATGTTACAATTTGTTTCAAATTTAAGCATTTTTAGATAATTGATTTGATCTGAAGTGGGCCAACGCTAAAAACCGTAATTACGGTCCATGGTTACGTAAAATGGAGGAAAAGTCGCTCTTTATTTTATATTTTTAACTACTGGTACGCGCTTTAATTTCTGTTGTGTTAATTAAATTTTTTTCATGGTTACGTTTTTGTATAGCAGCGTTTCAATAAATATAATGAAATTGTTACGTTTTATACGTTTTGTTGACTTACCGTTGCTTGTATATCATAATGAAACATTAAAACTGTTAAATGTGTAAATTGAATGCGTTCTTTTAATAAAAATAAACAAAAGCCTTGGTCATGTTAGTTCAGTACCAAAACAGACCGGTAGTGATACAAACAACCTATTTTTTATTCTAGCTAACGTGAATGTGAAATCAACCAAAGACTTTTTGTTAAAGTGATTTAATATAAGGTGCTATAAGTAAGCAAAATAATAAATTATGTTACCTATATGAGTAAATATGTATGTGGAATTTAATGGTCTGGGATTAATTTCAATGTTATTTTAATTACTCGCTCGATTAAAAAGTGCCATAATTTAAAAACAGATTTATTTCTTTTTTTTTTCGATTTAATTCCATTATGTCCAGACCGGTGAGCAGCATCTGACGAGTGTGACTGAAACGTGGTGATTCGTATTTTGTAATCATTTTAGTTATTAATCTTTTATTTAGGTTATTGTAAAAAATAATAATTAAGATGTAGCCTTGTAGTGATAAATAATAAATGCCATTTTCACAATAAATAAGACTTTTTGAACCGTACCTAACACGACTGAACCCAATTTATCAATTCCTATACTTTTTAAATCTCAACCCAATGGTAAGTGTAACAAGATTATGAATTGCCGATTAATAGACGAGTATGTTATACTTTTCATGATGCATAAAGTTTGAAAGTGCGTTCTACGTTTATTAAAAAATTAAACATTAAACTTTATTTTTTAAGTAGGTTATTTTGTTCGTAGCCGTTCATTTCAATTATTACGAAAGTTATAATTTTAATTATGTAGCGTGGTTTTTCCAGTTTTAGGGTTTCTTGAATTTAAATGTGCAGTTATGGAGGGTAAAGGTGAGTGCGTGTTTTAGAAGCTACATGCAAAATATAAATTAAGGAACAAATTTTGTTGATCACCTTTTATTTTTAAGTCCCATAGCAACAGCCAAGTGGTAAACATGTTAATTACGTTTTCTGTTGCAAAATACCATTAATAATTCCGTTGAAATGACAAACACTGAGTATAGAGCGATAATTTATCAATTCGATAAATTCTAAAATTGGGAATGGTACTGCTTGGAAGCAGAACGGACCAATAATATCTCGGACCGCAAGTGTTGCTTAGCAATACTCCCAAAACGAGCCAATCGCATTGTATCATTTATACATTTACCAAAGCGATAAATAAATGTTTTAGATTTATTTTAGTTAAAAAATATATTAATAAATTATTCTATGAGATGCGAGTGAAAAGCTGAAAATATCAAACTAGAAGACGGATTTGTATTAAGCATAGATTTATAGCACAAGACCTTACACTTTTTCTCTAATTATTAAAGAAAAATGTTACCTATATTCATCAGACCAATTACAGTAGACGTGACTATACAATAGTGTTATTTTTAAGGATGATGTAAGACCGGTTCCTATTAAATTAAACTTTGTAAATAATTATTGTGAAATAAGTAGATGGTAATTACGTTAAAGATTATGAAATAATCGATATAACCTCACTCTCACTGCGCAAATGAAAATTTTGATAATATTTCAGTGAAAAATTACAAGTTTGGCGCATTTCTAAACTTATCCGTTGTTTAATCGGTGAGTGTGAATGTTTGCATAATTTAAAAATTGTTTGTATTTTTTACCGCCAGTTTTTATCCATCCAACACGTGTTTTTTTTTTTCAAATTATAATAAGTGCCACAATAATGTCGAACAAAATGCTGATAATAGGGATCAGTGGTGTAACTTGCGGGGGCAAAACCACATTGGCCAACGAACTAAATCAGTTACTTCCCAAAAGCAAATTAATTTCACAGGATGATTATTTTCTTGATGTTGATGATCCACGCCACATATGGATATCCGAATTAAACCATATCAATTTTGATATCCTATCAAGCCTTGATATGGAAAAAATGGACCATGATATCCATGAGATGATAAGGAACAAAAAACGTCTTGAAAGTAGTAACACCAAAACTAACGGGTTAAAAAAAATCAGAAGCTCTGAAGAATTGAAGAATACTACAATAGAAAAAATAAACCGTACGGGTTTGGAGGTTTTAATCCTGGAAGGATTTTCAATATTTAATTACAAACCGTTGCGAGAATTGTTTCACTTGAAATATTTTTTTACTCTCCCTAAAGACGAATGCTTCACCAGACGCGAACAACGGGTTTATGAGCCTCCAGATTGTCCTGGGTATTTTGAACTGTGCGCCTGGCCCGAACACATAAAACAGAAGGAAGAGGTGGAGAACGAAGTTGAAGGAGTGCGATATTTCGATGGACGCTCAAACAACGCCTTAGAAGAAGTACTTTGTGATATTGACAGTATTTTTTAATTTATAAAATTGTGATTGCGACATTCCTGGTAGAAATATACTGATGTAGCAAGTATATCAGTATTTTATTGTAAATAACCTCAGTACAATGTAAATCTCGAATTGTTACTTAAACACAAATAAATAATGTACACGTTTCTGAGAAATGGTATTAAACTACAAAAACACACAGTGTTTATAATGTTATAATTTCGATTACAAGTTAATGAGCTGATCTTTCCGTTTCTTCATGAAAAAGCTTGAATAATTCAAGTGTACAAAATGAAAATTGATAACACTGAGCAACTGAAAATTTTACATCGCGTATGTACTTTTGCTAGGCTGTTCTTCGTCTTGCACACCGCTTGACTTTTTCACGTAAACGGGATTCACTTGGATATCTTCGTCCATAGCAAGTATTTGCTTGTCAAGTTCCATACAAATAGCTAATTGAGCTTCTAGACTTTTCAGCACGTCTGCACCTCCGTATTTCTCAGGCTCGTCTCTAAACACAACCATTCCGTCTTTTTGGTTTATCGTAGCGTAAATTTGCTGATCCTCAATCTGAAAATGTTTCATCAGAATTTTTTAACAAATGGAAGGACGTACCATGTGCAAAATGTAACGCTCAGCATCTGAAGGACCAGGCAATCCAACTCGGCTTGCCACATCTGATAAACTTAACGTTAAGAAGGTTTTCGTCAGCCTTTGAATGTTTTTCTTGTAAAGCACTGAGGATACCTGTTTTACAAGACCTAAATTGTGATCCCTGGTGAATGCCTTGAAACATAAAATTATCAAAATGATGCATGATTTTTTAATTGACTACCTCTCTGTGTTTATTAATTACAGCATTCAAATCCGCTGTGTTGTTTGAAGTGAAAGAATTTGCTAAATCATTGTAAGGCTGAGATAATGGTTTGATAAACCGAGTAACCACTTGTGAAGCATATTTAGGCACTGGTTGTATCTAAAACTTGATTTAAATAACGTTTCTACACAAGACAAGACTCACTTTTCCGTGTAATAAAAGTGAAACTATAATGTATTTCTTGTATGCCTCGAGCATAATATGAGAAACGGCGTGCGCTGGGGTTGTTATAGCTACCTCAAAGAAATACAAAGCACGATCCAAATTTCTCACAGCTAAATAAATCATTCCGCCATAGTAATAATACAATAAAAAATATTTTGCTTCAAATTGGGCCCCATTAGGATTATGAACAATCTGGAAAAAGCGATCTTGTACAAGTTTTTGGGTAGGTTAGTGTTACCTCTTGGCAAATTCCAGTAATATCAGTATCTAAAATTTCTAAAGCAGGCTTAAAGCATTTTGCCAATAAGCACAACTGGCACAGATCAGCATGAATTGATGTTAGTTGAGAATCAAAGAACCTCAACTTCGAAATAGCCTTTCTTAACAGGAGAATCCCTTTCATCGGTTGTTTCTGCTCAACTAGATAATTTGTTAGAGAGTGACATAAATCAGCAACTGAAACTTTAAGATTAAAAAACTGGGGATATTTTTCACCTATCAGTACAAGTATCGGGAGCTAATCTGATCTGCTCTCCGTTACAGCCATGGATAAACTCTTGGACTTGTGCAAACCGATTGTCTGGAGTATTTGCGGGGACTGTTGAATTAAATTTAGCGCATAATACTACTAAGTAGCCGAGTGAATGTTGTTGCAAATCAAGCGTTTCAAGCACGTTGTCCAAGTGTTGAGTGTTTTTAAGGAGGATATCCGAAGATTTACTTAAATATTCACAAAGAACTTTATAGTTTCCTGGAAACATAACCTCAATTAGACAACTTACATTTTAATTTGCACTATTCGGGTACAAACCATGAGAAGAAAGTGTCCTAACAGTCGTTACAAACTGTTCTAAAACGGATGCCATTTCATTCAGATGATGGAAAATTACGTTTTACAGAATAAATTATTACTATTTTTATACTCGAATCTGAAATTGACAACCGGTGCGATGACAGTTTTCGAAGGAAGGTGTGCCAACCTGAAATTGACGATTATTATTGTGAGATTGGTACGAGTGCTACTTGTGTAAAATTTTAGAGGTTAATTTAACCTGTCAAAACGTGAGTTTAACATGTGTATCGTGGTGAAATAATTATTAAAACTGTAATAATGGCAGAGATTTATGATTTGGTTAAAAAGTTTCATCTTCACGCGAAGACCCATAAAACTAAGGAGGCTGACACAGAAGATTGGGTTAGTTTGGTCTTACAGGAGAAATACTGGGACGATATTCTCGTGTTGTATTCGAATAATGCGCTAATAAAGGACTTTTTTAATTCAAAAAGTGATGAAGAAAGGGAGAAATACCTCAATTTTGGTATTGCATGTTTTACTTATTTCGTCCAAAGCAACTTTACGGGACCTACAATTCCGAAATCGATTGACGAATTTCTGGCACAAGACAAATTCAAATCTTTTGATTTTGCCAGTCGTTTGGCTATGAACGGAGAAGATATCAACGTTAACACAAAAAACCCCGCACTTTTAGCAGTTTCAGAATTCATATTTGATTGCTGTATTGTTAACACTTTGGTTAACTTGTGGTGGTGTTGTCGAGCTTTAATGATACATCAAGACGTTTTAGACGAGTTAAGCCCCTCACTGTTGTCCAATGCTGACCGGCTTCACAAATTGCTCCAAGAGCAACCTTTAAAAGGTGTGTTTCGTCAGTTGTTTTAGTTCCACTTGTAATTGTACTAAATTTTAGGTGTAGTAAAAGCCGAACTTAGTACAGAATTGGCCCAAATGTATCTCAAATTCCGTCACATCACAAAAGCTCAAGATCATATCACAACAGCTTGCGATGTGTTAGGATTGGAGTTTGATTTTGTTGGTAAATTAGGCAAAAGAACAAAATATCAAACCGATGAATTGGCACAACTAACAGTAAAAGTCACACTAACTGATCATGAAGAAATGAAACGGCCCGAGATTGACGATATCACTATACCTCAAAACTTCAGTCTCAATGACGATGTTAGATTGGACCAAGTGAGGTTTTCAGAAGAGTCTGATTCCACAAAACTGCCCAATGCTGAACAAAAACTAATTCTAACGATCATCCGAAAGAAATTAATTTCTAGTCCTTCTGATGAGTTGCAAACCGAAGAAATTTTGCCATTTATAGAAATGATTTTAAATCAGAAAAACACGTACACAGTTCGTGTAATGGCATTATTGTTGCGCTGCAAATTAGAATCTAATAACAAAAGAACCATTGAAAGGTGCTTGAAACAGTGCGAGGACATTATCAATAATTTTAAAAAGGAGAATCCCCCAGCGAGTAATAGAGTTGGAGATGTTTTTGGAACCTCGATGTTACCAATTTGGAAAGTTCAAGCAGAGTATGCTGACATATTATTGAATTTTGGATTGGTAAAAAACAGTTTGGATGTTTATTTAAATATACAGTTATGGGAGGAAGTTATTATTTGTTACAACATTCTGAAAATGAGAGAAAAGGCAGCAGAAGTTATTAGACAACAGCTTGAAGTAAAGCCAACAGTGAAGTTAATGTGCCTTTTAGGTATGTTTTCAGTCAATTCGTTTTTATTTAATTGTATTTGCTTAACTCAAAAGTGTTTTCTAATTTCCTTTAAGGTGATGCAACTGACGACATCACATGCTACGAAACAGCCTGGGAGATGTCGAAGAAACGCAGCCATCGGGCACAAAGACACTGGGGGCGTTTCTTATTCGCACGTAAAAAATACGAAGAATGCATCCCACACTTTGAGAAATCCCTCAGCATAAACCCCCTCCAAGCCAACATTTGGCTAGGTTTAGGTTTCGCAGCCTTGCAAGTAGAAAACTGGCAAACGGCAGCAACGGCTTACCGCCGCTACACCACTCTGGAACCTGACGGTTTTGAGGCTTGGAATAACCTAGCCCAGGCTTACATCAAACTAGGAAACAATCGCAGTGCGCACCAAGCCATCCTGGAAGCCCTGAAGTGCAATTTCGATAATTGGAAAGTATGGGAAAACTTGCTTTTAGTCAGTTGTGATATTTCGAATTATTCGGATATAATCCGAGCGTACCATCGAATAATCGACTTGAAAGAAAAATACTTAAACGTCGAAGCTTTAAACATTCTTGTATACAGTGTTTGTAACGACGCCACCGATTGTGAGGGAAATTCCGCGAGAAAGTTATTGCAAAAAATCCGTGAATTGTTGGGGAGAGTTGCGGGGTTGTATCCCAACAGTGGGCCTGTGTGGGAATTGTATGCTAGTTTAGCGCCAGTGTTGTTACTTAGGGCCCAACGGCTGCAACGGGCTTATAGGGGATACACGCAAGGGTCTTGGGATAAAGATCCGAAAACATGCTTATATGTCCTAAATGTGTGCAGAAAATTGGGCGATGTCGTACTTGAAGAAGAAATAGATCCAGCTAATACTATTATTAATTCAGTCAAATTAAATCTAAATGCGGCTATAGCAGCGATCAAAAAGCAAAATTGGGAAGAAACTAAAGAATTTCTGGAGGAAGTGTCAAATCAGTTGGAACAAATTGTAGAGAAAATGAAGAAGGCGAAAGTAGCTGTTAAAATTGACGAACTCGTTGATGATTCTGACAATAGCACTTAACTTTTTCACGTACTGAATAAAATTTTATGTTAAACTTGATTTTTTATTGTAATTGTAATGTGATCCTTTGTTTTTGTTGGGTTAACAAAAAAAGAGAAATATATGATACCATTTATTAAAACATTTCGTATGTACAATCACAAATAACCACATGAGCGCTTTCGTAAGTCTTTCAGCGTTGTATCCACATGCAATTAAGTCAAACAAAACAATCTAAAACAAAAAAAAAATAGTTCAGAACGTTACTGAGACAAAATACTAACGTAAAGTTACTTTTTCCTTCAGACAAATAGATATTAATCAACACACATTCATAGCGTATATTATAAGCATCATGGAAAATTAAACACGCGTGAAATTCTTGCTAAATACATGAACTGGTGTTTTTCAGTAAACAAAAATTCTAGTTTTAGTTACTAAACAAATGAGATGAGTAATAAAAAATGACCACGTCCACATTCTATAAAGCGTGAACTTCGTAACAAACTAAGAAAAATCAAATTTTTACGTGACAAAACAAGACTGAAGAAGTACAAGTCAACAATATTTACCCTAGATCAATTTTTGTAACGTTCCAGAAGACCTCAACCTAAAAGGAAAAAAAACACAAATTAACAAAACAATTGAACATTAGTGGTTTAAATTGAATAATAGAAATTTCAGTGAGGGCAAGAACGAATCAATGTGCATTCATAATAGCGTATATATTGGATCATCACAACAAAGGTGAATATGCATTTCACAAAAACGTAATGAACTTTACTCACCTCAAATCAGGATCCTCCTTTAGAGTCACTTCTTTACAACCACCAATCTAGGACCTAAAAATAAAGACTGTTAAGTATCATAATAAACTCTCTTTAAACTTCATTTAATTTTAATAATATATTTAATTCAGTTAATGTTTTTTTCCCCAGGTTTTTGTAAGACAGGGATAACTAATGATCATCATACACAAGTAATTTATTAATGAAATAACTAAATTGTAATTCTAAAACACCTACCCATGTTGTTTTAAGACGACAAAACTTCTAGCCTCGTCCTAATCCCCCACCTGAAAACAGTATAAACAGCTTTTAAAAAGCAGCAAAAACACGGATGATGCATTAAAATGCAGTAATTGAATCAGTGAAAAAAAATGCAGCCATTGTTTATAATCACAATGATCAGACGGTAATTATTATCATCAGGTTCTTTTTCTAGTTTTGTAAAAAAAGTAATGTAAGTTACCATGAAAAGTGGCATCTACACCATTTTGTCGTAAATACTGAGTAGCTCCTTGGGACGTCAGACTAAAACACAAACCATTTCTTTAAAATCTTACAAATCATAATTAGTAAAAACAAATAAAAACGTTATTTCAGAACGTAAGTAATCACAGTCGTTCAGATTGACTAGGGCGTACGAATTGATTCATCATGTTGAAAAAATTAAACGTAATAAAAAAATAAATACAAACAGTCAAAATGTACTCACCATTCTGCAATAGGTGTGCCATAGTTTCACCTTTGGGATAGGAAGATCTATAAATTAAAAAAAAAAAATTGCAGTACAAATATACAACCAGAGTTAAAAAACAATTTATTTTAAATGCTTCAGATACAATTTATCAACAAGATAATTCTGCCATATGCTTGTCTACTGTAAAAATCATCAGTTGTGAATAAAACTCATTCAATGAGAAGTTCTTAAAACAAAATCACGTGCTTTAACAGAATTCGTTCTTTGATTTAAAACCCCTTTAAGCTATTTCACATTAAAATTTTCAGCTTTTAAAGTAAATTAAATTTACAATTTCTTGTAGTTTCATGCGAACTGTCCTGTATCAATTGGCAACATCTACTTTCAATAAACTATATACAATTTCTTTCATACCTTTGCACCTTCCGAGCTTCCAAAACACATTTACATGCTCCCTTGTTGTCTACTTCTCCAAATACCAAAATATGCCTCTCAAGGCACCCAATTTGCAGGGGTTATACTCGTAGAACCGCTCTTTAACCATTGTTCTTCGAAAGCACTGGTAGACAAAAAAAACAGAAATTATTGCAAATAGAGAATTGTTACAACAAAGAAGATGTTTTTTATTCTCAGCAAATAATGTTATATTGGAATCACAATATTCTCATACGAACGAGACTAACAATCATCATATTTATAACCACGTGTTTAGCTATCGCTTCTGCGTTAGAACAAAAATTCCCAATAATGAAATGAAACCCAATTGTATCTTTACAAATCGTACTTTACATGTTATGTCTATAAAAAAATAAGCAAAAAAAAAAAACCTTTTGAACAAAAAAATAAGAAAACGAACAAAACCAACCTTCTCCTTCGGCGACTCCAACGAAAAAGAATGGTTGGCAAATGGCGACTTCCGACTTAAAATTCCACAACCAATCAGAAAAAACATCGTGACGCAAGCGCATTCTACTCAATTTAATAAATATAGTAAAACCTTGTTTCAGTGGAAATTTTGCTCGAATTAATGAAATTATATTAATGCAGTTAATTAATTAACTGGAGATAAATTGAGATTTGGTGTAGTGGTGTGTAAATTTAAGATTTTATGGTCAGTACTGCAGATTTTTTGAACTCATGATAATAGTATAACACTGTATTAAAAGTTGCCTACCCCAATCACATATTTTATTTATTATTATTTATATTACTATTATTATTTATATTACTATTATTATTTATATTACTATTATTATTTATATTACTATTATTATTTAGATTACTATTATTATTTATATTACTATTTGTTCGATTTAAGTATACGAAGGTGCTTCCTAAACTTAAATCAAAAATTCAAGGGATGATTCCTTAGATTTGTTTTATATACAAGGTGAGTCACGAGGAATAATGAGCCTGACCAAATTCTTAATGCAACCACCATTACCTTGCGCAAGTTATTTTGCGACAACTGTAATGTTGGTTGCATCGAAAATTTGGTCAGGCTCATTATTCCTCGTGAATCACCCTGTATAGTTATTAAGACAACAAAATTTTATAGACAGTTTAAAAATCGAGGACGCAATTTAATAGACAGAGATTTTTAAGCTTTAAATCTTTTGTCGTCTTCAACCCTAATATTGGATCAGAAATTTTATTAAATTCAGAAATTGTTATTGTCAGAATTGACAAAATGCCAAGATAAAGTGTGTTTTATGTACTTATACAGGGTGATTTACGTGGAATAATGGGCCTAACCAAATTCTCGATGCAACCACCATTACACTTTCATAAGTTGCTTTGCAACAACTTTTGAAAAATTATAATTTGAATCCACGATGCCTATTATTATAATCAATCATGGTCATTGTCATTTTTGACAAACGCTACAAATTTATTAACTGAGCAAAATGTCTAATACCCAATGATATCCCGAAAGAAAGAGCATCTTCTGACACGATCAGGGTTAGTTTTGAGAAAATTGGGTTCCTGTTAAGTTATCAAAGCGGATGGTATGTACTACCGGATCAAGCTTCCGTAATTCGTATTTTAGTATACCCATTATTGTGATGGTATTTCAATTACTTCTGTTTTTCAAAATTTTAATGTCAAATGACCTATGAGAGTGTAATGTTGGTTGCATTGCGAATTTAGTCAGGCTCATTATTCCTCGTGAATCAACCTGTATATGTGATTGACGACGTATTTTATAAAAGAGCAAACATTAACGGCAATAGAAGCGGTAAGTTTAAATGTTGCATAGAGACAAGATAAGAGTGGAAAAAAGAATATTTTGTAATTATAAATGTTTTATTTGATTTTCATTTTTGTTTTATTTTAATTTTATTTTCAATATTACAGTAAAATCTATCTAATCTTGTCTTGATATCTGTCTGGCGTGAATGCAAAAAATAACCATTTTTGTCAATTAAAACGTTGACTTTTTTATCTTTGACATTATTATAAATTCGTAGTTTTCACTTGTAAATTGCCTTCATTTATTATTCAGATTGAAATGCATAAAATCCATAAAGTTTGCGTGACTACAAAGTCTTCTAAAGACTCTAGATAAATAAATTTAAGAAACCTCTAACTTCAATCTAGGTCGAAGCAGTTACATTTCTACTGCAAAAGGATTTCGTTGATATATTGATCAGATTTGATAAAATCGCAAAAATATGTAGGGTTTTTGTTTATTTTCATTATAATCTATGACTGTGTTCTACATCTTTGATCTTTCTATAATATTTTTACACTTTTTAAATACACTGAAATCGATACTTACTTATATTAAAAGCTTAATAATATTAAATTATTAAATTTTCTTTAAAAAAAGTCATGTGCTAAATTTAAAAAAAAAAAGTAAAAAACTCGTCGCTACCTAGCTCGTATCAAAAACTGAACGCCAACTTTGGTCCTTATTGACGCTATTACTTTTTTAAGAAAAAGGCATATTTTTGAAAGTGATTTAAAAAGCTATTTCTGTTTTTACCAACCGTAATAAATTTATACCAACGCAATAGAAAGTCTCTTTTAAAAACTTTCCCTATTTTTTTTTTTTTGTTTTACTGTATTGAGCACATTTTATTTTATACAAAAGGGATTTTATATTTTTATTGATATTGTTTTTTTAATTATTATTATTTTTAAAATTTTTGCTGTTGGCTTTAGATGGGTAATAAATAAACTCTAAATATTTGACTCACAACTAGGGCCTATTCTGTAAACATAAAAACATTTTTAAAGGGTGTTTAAAATTTTAAATCACATTTAATATTTCGATGTTATTCTGTATGTATCTTTCCTGTTAAAATTTTAAATATCCCCTTTATTTTTCACCTTTAAATGCTTAATTTTTAAAGGGTACTTTGTGGGTAGCATTAAAAATAATAAAGGAAACAAACGTCAGTCGTCAGTGTAGAAAAATGCAAATCAGTGGTAGGAGTGCTAAACAACTATTTGGTTTATTTATTTGTTTTTATCAAATAGTCTTTGTTGTGTCAGGTTGGTGTTTTTGAATTATGGTAATATAATCGTCACCAGCGCTAATTAAAAAACAAAATATCRATTAAAAAATCGATTAAGGGTTTYTAATGAACCAATTATTGCATTAATACAACTTAGAATTTGAWATTGTCCTGCTTCGCTGAGTTTAAGATTGGCGGTTGTAATTTTTGGGAATGCAGTGCTACCAATTCACATTCGCGCACGATTTATTTTAGACTTTTTTTTTGTAAATTCTTTTTATTGTAAAAATTACAAATTGACACACCTCACTTCACTTATTTTATTATTATTATTTGACCCGGCAAAAGAAGAAGAAACCATTTGCCAGATAATTATTTTCATTTTCTGACAAATAATTTCCACAACTTTTACACTCCACTGACCCGGCGGTTTATATATGCAGACAGGCAAGATTCACCACTACGAGTATTATTGTTGATAAATTGTTTGAAATAAGATTAATGTAAAAAAAACAATCTAGCGTCACTGCAGATCTTCCGCCTCGCAACTTAATGAATTATTATTAATTAAGTTATTTTTATTGATGTTATTAAAATAAATTTTGTTGATATTGAGACATTTTCTAACAATATTACAAGTTTTTAAAATTAATACATTTTATCTAAAACACAATTAATTCATATTAATAGTTCAATAACACTAAATAATAACAATAATACTAAATGTAATATTAAGCACTCGAAAATACACAACACGCATTCACTGGTCATTGAAGTTCCTGAAACAAAACAAAAATTAACCATATATTCTGGAAACAAATTAAATTCGTACAATACTTGGTTTTCTTCCTGTCAATGTTTCTTTAATACGTAAAAAATCCAAAGTAAATTTGAACTCGCCTTCTACAAATTTTGAAATTAAATTTGACAAATAATACTTTTTATCTAAAACACAATTAATTCTTTATCATAATTTAGTAAATACTTACTGTTGCAAACAAAAATCACAAATTCTCACACTTCACTTTGCAATAAACAAAAAAAAAATTAAAAAAATTAAATGCACTAACCTTTATGGCATCTTCTTCTGCTACCCTTTGTAGCAATTTGCCTCTTCTTCTTACACGGACCTACTGAAAATAAAGAAACACAAAATCAGTTTAAYGTGTTATTAAATTAGTTGAAAATATTAAATACAATTTAATAAGTAAAATTTTTCTAAAAAATTAAAAGCTATTGTTGACTTACCCTTTAATCCGGACCCATGAAGCACGATTCCCTTCTCCATTTCCCCCATTGGCACTCACTAGAAACTCGAAATTTTAAAATCGCGCACTACTAAATGTCTATTAAGCACTTGAAAAAACAACAGGAACTCACTTATTTTATTATTATTAGTTGRCCCGGCAAAAGAAGAAGAAACCATTTAGCAGATAATTATTTGAAGACTTAATTTTCTGACAAATAATTTCCACAACTTTTACACTCCACTGACCCGGCGGTTTAGACATGCAGTCAGGCAAGATTCATCATAACGGATATATTGCTGATAAGTTGTTTGAAAAGAGATTAATATAAAAAAACAATCTAGCGTAACTGCAGATCTTCCGCCTCGCAACTTAATGAATTATAATTAATTAAGTTATTATTATTGATGGTTTTAAAATAAATTTTGTTGATATTGAGACATTTTCTAACAATATTACAAGTTTTTAAAAAGTTTGTCTTTTGAATCGCAATAAATAAATTTGAATATAATTTTAAATTTCAAAATTTACTTTTAAATTGTGTGGTACATAACAGTCTTGTTTTCTACAAATTATAAAAAACGGATTTGAGAAATAACACATTTTATCTAAAATAAAATTAATTCATATTCATAATTTAATAAATACTTACTGATGCAGTCAAAAATCATTTTCACACTTCACTTTGCAATAAACAAAAAAATAAAAAAATAAAATGCACTGACCTTATACGGCATCATCTTCTGCTACCATTTGTAGCGATTCCCCTCATCTTCATAGAACGGACTTACTAAAATAAAAAAAAATTCAAAATTAGTTCAATTTGTTTTTAAATTAATTGAAAATTTTTAATACAATTTAATAAGTGTAATTTCTCTACCTTACCGAGTTTCGCACACTTCACTTTGCAATAAACAAAACAAAAATAAATAAAATGCTCTGACCTTATATGGCATCATCTTCTGCTACCATTTGTAG